ATGGAGTTTATCTTGCAGGATGTCTGTGACCCAACAGTTGAGAGACTGGCTTATAAGAGTGACTTTAATCCAATGCACATCAGCACACATCATCAGTTGTCATTGAGCCAACTATGTCTCATGACGACCCCATGTGTGTCAGACTATGACTTTGCTCCGGAAAATGCTCAGTGGTTGCTTTTTCGGACCTTTTTTCCCAGGTGCCTCTGCACCATTTGTTCCGAATAGCCACAGCTTGGTCTATGATTACAAATTTCCCTAATGTTTGTCTTTGTTTCCATTTCAGGACCAATCAGAGAAAGTTAAATACAGCATCCTAACCAATTATGTAAGCAGCTCCTTTCTAGAAAGTCTGCCTCCAGCATCCTCATACTAACAATAAGAACACACCTTGAAGTCGGCCTTTTTGTTCACTAGGAAGCTTTTCCACTCTTCCGCCTGCTTTTGCGTCTCTGCCAAAAGCAAGTGAAGCAAGTGATGGTGGCTGACTGCTTTGTTCCGACTGCTTTGTTCGAGCAAGCTCTGGATATATAACCTCTGTCCTCAGGGTCTTCCCTGATGAGTATAATGAAGGTCTGGGGTCCTAGGGACTAGGATGAAGGGAGCTTCTCTGGAGAATGGAACCACTGTTGTTGTTGTTATGTGCCGTGGAGTCGGTTCCGACTCATAGCGACCCTGTACAGGGTTTCCGAGGCTGTGAACCTTTACGGGAGCAGAAAGCCTCATCTGTCTCCTGTGGAACAGCTGGTAGTTTCAAACTGCTAATCCTGAGGATAGCAGCCCGATTCGTAACCACTATGCTACCAGAGCTCCTGGAACCACTGTACTGTTAGAGAAAAAGAAACATCCAACTTTTAAGGCACTGCCATTTTAGGTCTTTATTTTAGCAACCTAATCAAATCCTAACAACACACACACACACACACACACACACACACACACCCCACCCCCCCTGAGGAACCATTTTAGTATTAGAGATTGAATAGTCAAAATTCATCTATTTAAACCATACTAATTTGGACCTTGTGCAGATTTGCCCTGGGGCGGCCTGGGCTAAGGGAACCATTTGCACTAGATTAAAAATTTGCTGAGTATATTTCTTTCAGTACACCAGATTTTACTTCTTCAAACTAGGATTTTTTTTTTTTAAGGTACTTCAGCATCCTTCATTTGCATCCAATGATCGATATACTAATTACAGTGGAGTTTTACCTGTTTATTAAGGGAGCTAATACTTGGAGGCTACTTAGTGGAGGTCTGAGGATGCTCATAATGTAGAGAAGTAAAGCTGCATTTGAAAGGGAAAAAACAACCCTGCGCTGCTCATCAACCACACCGCACACCAGATGGCCCGTCTAGAGACTTTTATTCAGGGTGAGAAAGAGGAAGGTGACCTCTGCTGGAAAGAGAAGGCAGGAGGCAGAAGAAAAGAGAGAGGAGAAGAGGGCAGAAAGAAGAGAGGTCAATGGGAAGGGAGTGGTCTTATATAGGTTCAACAGGAAGGGCGTGGTCATTGCTAAGGTGATTCAGCTGTGGCCTATCAAAAGCCAGGTATCCCTTTAGACTACGTGCCTTGTAGTTTAGGGTGGGGAAACAGAAACCTAAGATTACAAAGTGGGGTTGAATGGAGAGGAGAGGGAAAAACCCGGAAGGTACAGCCTAAAATGGTGGACCTGATATTGTAACAGCATTTATGCACACAAAAGTCTGAATTGTCATAAATTCTTACTGGACTTTTGCCAATCAGGATTAAAGCAAATTTCAGCTCCTTGACTATTTAGTGAGACCTGGTGTCTCAGTGGGTTAAGTTCAACCTCACCAGCTGCCCAGGAGAAAGATGTGTTCCTCTGCTCCCATAAAGGTGACAGCCTTGGAAACACTATGGGCAGTTCTCTTCTGTCCTATAGGGTCACTATGAATAAGAATTGGCTCAATGGAAGGGACTCTCCTTGGCTAAATTTACTTTATATTCCAATACAATTCAGTCTCCCTTTGAATTTAACATAGCCCCGGGCATAAATGACACTGGGATGGGAAATGTATAATAGTTTATTCATGGCCACATCCGATCCATCCTTCTGGTCACCAGTGGTTCAAGGCCCTGGTTTCTGGGTGGTAATGGCTCCCAATGCCCTCCCTGGCACTTTTATGACCACAGGAAACGCACAGAAAGGACAAACTCCCGGAACCGATGCTTCATGGTACCACAGTCCCAGGCACCTGATCTATAAGATGCTTAGGTCAAGAAGCTAGGCCATGGTGAAGAACAAGATGTCTTAAGACTTTTGTGTTTTCCATCCCTGTAAGTCAGGTTCTGATTTCCAGAGGCCATCTCCCAGATGGGGTTGAGCAATGCTTTCCTACGCCACCTAAGGTACTGTAGCGATCTGGAATGCAAGTCCCAGAAAGGCAGTTCCTTCAGATACACCATCCATGCCCTCAGGTCTCCATCATCTATGTATTCATCCACTCCTGCTTTTATCCCTCAGATGTGTCTTGGGCACCTACTAAATGCTATTGCTCTGGTCAGTTGCTGTTAATTCATCCCCTGACTCACTGCCAGTCCATGTGCCCCAGGATTGGATCATTGTAATTCCATAGGATTTTTATCGATTTTTCAGAAATTGATTTCCTGGTCTGTCTTAGTCTAGAAACGCTGAGAAACATTCATCCTGTTGTTGTTGTTGTTGTTGTTGTTGTTGTGAAGTGCTGTGGAGTTGGTCGTGATTTATAGCAACTCTTTATGGGCTTTCCAAGGACTGACAGGTGGGCTTGAACTTTGTGGTTCAAACTGACCTTGCGGTCCAGTGCATTATCCTACAAGTGCCACACCAGGACTCCTGGGTTCTTCATCTGAGCAATACATAAGCCTCCAGGGACTGACAGGTGGCTGCCCATATTTAAGTTAACCCTCAGGAAAGGCAAGATTTCTACTCCTGACCCATCCTACACAACCTCTGCTCTCTTCCTGTAAAATCCAGTTTTGACCCTTGAGGTCTATGGTGGAAACAGTTACACAAGTAGTTGAAATCCAGCATGGTAAAAGCTGTAATTGAAATGCAAAAAAAAAAAAAAAAACTACTTCAAGAACACAAAAGGATTCAACTTGGCTTGTTGTTAACTGCTGTTAAGCCTAATCTTTCTCTTTCTCTTGTGAGCAACTGAACTGGTAGATTCAAACTACTGACTTTGCAGTTACTAACCCAGCTCATAATTCAATATGCTACCAGGCTTCCTTGGACTTTCCTACTGTTGTTTTGTTGTTAAGTGCTGGTGACTCGGGCGACTCGGTTCCAACTCACAGTGACCCAGTATACGCTTTCCAAAAAGTGGCTGTGAGCTTGACCTTGCAGCCCAGCACATTAACCCATGGCGCCACACCAGGGCTCCTGGCTAGGCAAATGAATTTGGGTGATGAAATCTTACTGGGAAGAATGTTTGTTTGCTTTTTCACATTACGAAGTAATGCCCTTTTATTATGATGAAGCTGTGATACACACCTCAAAATTTTAATATACTAGGCTTTACAAGGGTTAAGACTATGGTAGTCTTTACGAGGGACAAGACGATAATTATTGATAAATTGTTATCAATAATTGGTTGCCATGGAGTTCATTCCAATTCAGTATAACTCCATGTGTGCAAAGTAGAACTGCTCCACAAGTTTTTATGAAGAAGATGCCTGGTCTTTCTTTCGAGGTGCCTCTGGGTGGGTTCGAACTGCCCATTTCTTGACCAATAGTCAAGCCCAACCATTTGCGTCATCCAAGGACTTCAAATTTTAAATGTTGGCAGTTATCTGAAAACATCACGCTGACCAAGTAAAAATATATCTGATGTGTCATCAACCGTTTGACATTAATGCTGCTAAACACCGCCAGACATACATTCCAGAAAAAGAATGTCCCCAGAGACGTCTATGTGATCTTTCTCTGCCAGCCTTTGCCAGCAAGAACCTCATTTACCCACGATGACCATGCAGTCTTTGCAGCCCTCCTAGCTTGCCCAGGTCCTCCCCCCACACCTTGCACAAAGAGGAGTGAATGAAAGAATCATAGCCCAGACTTGGCTTACGGAGAAAAAGCCCATGTGAAGGACACAAGGAGCCATATTTATTTCACATGGGCAAGCATGATTCCGTCGCATGCTGAGCAAGAATGCTCATGTGAGGAAGTACCCGTAACAGCAGAATATGTGCTTTTTGTCCACAGGGAGCAGGAGAGTCACAAAGTGTTTTTTGAAAACAGTTTCCTTCAAGTCCAGTTTAGACCAAGGGCTTTGAAATCACTACTTTGTTTCATCACTAAAGGGTCTGTTTCCTAGGAGTGGCCGGGGAGGCAAGGAGGGATATCCTCCTTTATGTGGGATGCTGAGTTCTGAGGGCTGAGAATGGTGTGTCACCCCATCACCCAGGGCTGCTCAGAGAGGACCATGTGCAGAGTGGACAGTGACATGGGCAGTCTGCTGTGTTTATAACAGCAGAACCATCATCACTTCAAATACGTCATCATGGGAAGAACTACTCTTTTGAAAGCAATTTCCTAAAACCGCTTCTGGGCTGACAGGAGCCGTGGAGGCTCAGTGGGTTAGCGCTCAGTTGTTAAGTAAAAGACTGGTGATTCAATCCCACCAACCAGCCAGCCACTCCACGGGAGAAAGATGTGGCAGTCTGCTTCTGAAAGATTAAAGCCATTAAAAACTATCGGGTCACTATGAGTTAGAATCAACTCCAGAGCAATGGTGGGTTTGGTTTTTTTTTTTTTGGGGGGTGGTGGTGGTGCAGTTCTTATGGGCTGAAGGAAGAATGATTCTGAAATTGATTCAACATGCTAGAAACAGAGCAAATTTGTCTTGAAAAACTGGGGAGAGCTAGTGACAGAGATGCCCTGGTCCCTTGGCCTTTGCTGGGCTTCCCTATTCCAAGATGACGGGGCCCAAGATGGGAAAGAGGAGACCCAGGATGGCAGGGGACAGAAGGTCAGAGGTGCTGAGCACAAATCTCATTCCCACCTGAAGTCCTGTCCAACCGTTTCATAAAATTTAATATTATAAGGTCTATAAAATTCCCGGAGCTGGTCTATCACCTCAGGGTCTATCTGTACATGAGTTCTCCCCTTTGATTTGCCCAGGCATCGAGGCAGGAGGCTGGATTCTGGTTTCTTCAAGCAAGGGAAGCCTTTGGTCTTATTGAAATAGAAGTGCTTGTCTGTGATGAATCTCTTGATGCCCAGGAAGTCCTGCACCCGTCCCATCTCACCAGCTGGGTCGGTGATGAGCCGCTCGCCACTGACGAAGTGGATCTGGGCCAGCGGGAAATACCGTAACCAGCTCTCCAGATGCAACACGTACATGCCGATGCGGATGGCATTCCAAGACACATCCACCACACCCAGCGAGCGGTTGCGGAAGGAAAGGCCCTCAAAGGTAGGGATGTCTGGCTTTTTAGAAAGTGTCTGGGTATAGTCGGAGATGGCCCGGGTCACGGGATTTCGTACCACCACAATCAGTTTGGTGTCTCGAGACATGTTGAAGATCCGCCGAGGGGCCTCTTGAGTGACAAAATAGCTGGGTGTCTTCTCCAGTGTTATCTGACTCTCAAGAGTCCTGGGCATGAGGCTCCTATGGGGATAGAAGGACAATATATCAGATGGGGTCCCAGCAGGGATATCGCAATCCCACGTCCCCAGTGGGCCCCCTTCCACCTGCTCTTACTTGGTGAGGACCCCAAGTTAACTCTTATAGATGTTTGACTTTCTTTAAAAAGATTGATTTAAGACTGGAAATAATATAAACATTCATCAATGTGGGTTAAATCAATTATAAAATACTCAATTCACAGAGTTAGTTAGATCAATATGTACAAAAATGGAATGTTCTCCAAGATAGAATGTTACATGAAAAAAAGGCAAGACACAGAGTGTATCTTGGGAAGGAAACATACACAAAACCATAAATGCAGATGCTTCTAGGGAGAGGATCTGAGCTAGGAGGTCAGGAGCTAGTGAAAATGACCTTTTTTCAAGTAGCTGAAAATTTTAAGACACTTATTATATATTCAAAAACATATTGATTGATTTACACAGTCAATATCAAACAAGCAAGCCACGGGTTGTCATTCTTACAAAATGTATTTCTCCAGATAACTTAAGAAAAACTTTTTTGGGCAAAAGCTTTATTTTTCAGGAATAGCAGCAGTTTTAGAGATGAATTCTGACATCATCTTCTGAAAAGCACTTGAAATTCACCCTTTGTATGACCGTGAAAAACTCAGCACTCCAGGCTCAGTCAGGACATCAGTCTGAGGTCCGCAGTGCAAGCCCGCTCTCATATCGTGGCTCTGTTCAAGACTTGGGGGATGTTGGTGGGAGGCTCAGGCAGGGGCATCTCCTTCCGTTGGTGAAGGAGGGGAACATACTTGGTCCTCAAGAGCTCTTTCTTTCTACAAGTCACAGTTACCCATAAACGACATTTTTCTTTATTCTGGCTGCACTTGAGAACTACCAGAGGCATTTTAAAAAATGCAGATGTCTCTGCCTCATCCTATACTAACTGATTAAAAATATTTGGGGGTAGACAATTTGGAAAACGATTCAGAGAATTCTAATGGAAGGCAGAGCTGAGATCCATGAACAGATCCACACATCCTGAATCCTGCCACTGTGCTTTCTCAAGCCCCAAGGCATTTATCCCCACAGTCCTTTGTAATATCGACTCCTGGTGCCTGGCTCATGTCTTCATCTCTGTCCCATAACTTGGTTTCATAGTTCTCTGACATTCTTACTGCAAATAGCTCCATTTTCACTTGTCTTCATGAACTCTTTCTTATGTCATATCTTGACTGGTGTGGCGCTGTGGGATAAAGCACTAGACAAAAAAGGTCATTTTGAATCACAAGGTCGGTGGTTCAAACTCACCAGCCACTCCTTGGAAACCCTATACAGGGTTGCTGTGTGTTGGAGCCAAATTAATGGCACTTAACAACAATAACAATTCTGAAATGGTTGACTCCAAAACTCTGCTCTGAATGCATAACCTTATTTCTTTCCACATTACCTATAATCTCCATCTCCTTGTACCTGAGCTTCAAATTTAGCTAGGGTTCTCTTGATTTCACATTCTTCCCTGGACCCATTTTTAATATTGTTGTTAAGTGCTGTCGAGTTGGTTCCAACTCATAGTGACCCTGTCTGTATAGGATTTCCGAGGAGCAACTATGGGTTTGAACTGCCGACCTTGTGGTACACAGTACAGTGCTGATCCTACATTGCCACACGTTCACCATAATCATCATCAAAATTAATTACCTTGTACAGTAAAACCAGGAGTCCTGGTGTGGCGCTGTGGGATAAAGCACTGGACCCCCAAGGTCGGTTTGAACCACAAGGTTGGTGGTTCAAACTCACCAGCCACTCCTTGGAAACCCTATACAGAGGTGCTATGGGTCGAAATTGACTCAGCAGTACTTAACAACAACAACCGAGTACATATTCACCTCAACAACTGAACTTCCTTCTCTTTTTTGTCCAGTTTTGTAAATAATGCCACCATAACCTTCACAAGGGGCAAAAAAAACTCAGAATAATTCTTGTTTCCTTCTTACATGTAATGTCTTCCATTCCTGTAAATAGCATCTCCCAGACGTCTCAAAATCCAAGTACTCGTTTGCCAGTTTGAGGGTCTCTGGAAACGTTGTTTGCTGCACTGCATTGACCACCCAGTTCAGGGCCTGCTCCATTGTGTCCCACCATTCACACAAGGAACATTCTGTCTGAGCAGGTCATCGCTGGGAACTTCGTAAAAGGCACACCTCTGATTAGCACCCCTTTCCTGCTACATTTGTATATGCCTCGTATATGTGCTTTGGCATCCTGGGGGACCTTGGTGACTTATTAGCTCCTAACTGGGCAACCAGGTTCCTTGAAAATCAGTGCAGTCTCCAGAGGGATAATTAGGAGTGGAAGAGGAGGAAAAGCCTCATTGCAAGACACTTGTTCTTAAAACGAAATCCACTAACACCCATGTGCTGAGCTGAGAGTCGTGGTCCCAGAACTTCCGGCTCCGAACACTCACCTTGTTGAGTGCAGAAATGCATCTCCTTTCCCGTTATGGGACCACTGCCTTCCAAGCCCACATCCCCAAATCTTTACACTGTGTGACCCCAGAGCAAGCTACTAAGTCCCAGCTTAAACATCAATCATTCTTCACTGCTTACTGGGTAAAGTCCTTAAGGGGATGTATGTGGCTCTTTTTGATCCTACCCATGACCACCCATGGCTCTGGATAGGCTGGGCTAGTCAAACTTCTCCCCAAAGACTGTCTTTGTTCTATTGCCAGGGGACCTTCACATCTGCTGTTCCCTTTCCCTGAAGTCATGCTTAGCCAAACCTTCATCTCTAAGCTCAAATCACTTTCAGCACAAAGGCTTCTCTGGGCCCCTAGTATTTCCCCCTTGAGTCCTGGTGTGGCACTGGGGGTTAATACGCTAGGCTGCAAAATTGGTTTGAATCTCAAGGTTGGTGGTTCAAGTTTACCAGCTGCTTTTCAGGAACCTACATAGGGTTGCTATGGTCAGAACTGACTCAATGGCACTTCACGACAACAACAAAAGACTTAGGCATTTCCCCTGTGGTATTCCTTGGTACCAAGTGTCTACACGTTTTCTCCCATGTACCACTGGGGTTCGAACCACCAACCTATCAGTTAGTAGCTGAATATGTTAACCATTTACACCTCCTAGGAAGTCCCAACAGCTCCAGGTGGTAGTTAAATATTGGGCAAGGAATTATGCTATCCCCGAAGAACATGTAGAGTATGAAAAGCCGGAGAGGGACCCGTGGGCAACTTCAGAATATTTGGAGAGAATGGGGAATTTGAAAAGAGGATAAGATCTTAAAGGTGCATTAAGCAGGTGGTTGACTTCATTTGCTCCTCAAAGATATTGATTGAGAAGATCTTACTTGTGTCATGGACTGTAGTTGACTCTGGAGATATAGCTGCAGATATAATACAACCTGCTCTGCCCTTGCGGAATTTATAATCTAGTGGGACAAGCTGAGCTTCCACAGAGAGGAAGGTGAAGGAAACTAGGTTACAGAAGAGGAAACCAGATTATAAAATTCCATGATACAAAGTATCTACACATCCCGTTCTTTACACATTATCTGTGCCGATTACCCATCTTGAGTGTAAGACCCCGGAAGGCAGGGATCATGATTATCATGTCTCTATATGGACAATATCTAGTCCTGGTATCTCTGTCAGGTATCCACTCACTGAACAAGCTTTCACTGAGCCCATATTATATGCCAGCGACACAAAGATGACAAGGTAGAGTCTCTCTATTCCCAACGAGGTAACAGTCTTGTGAGACAGTTAGGATGGTTCCTTTTCCCAGTGGGAGGGATTGAACTAGCACTCAATTTCCCAGGAGGGTTAGTGGCTTCTGCCCTCTGGCAGGAGGTGCTACACCTGAACCCAGTTTCCCATAGTCCCAGGTCTCCAGGGCAAGCTGGCCTTCCCAGATAACTCCTACAAATAGCTGGTACCTAAGCCAAACCTGGTGTGGTGCTGTGGGTTAATGCGCCAGACTGCAAAGCCGTTTGAACTGCAAGATCAGCAGTTCAAGCTCACCAGCTGCTCCTAGGAAACCCTATAGAGGGTCGCTATGGGTTGGAACCGACTCGACAGAACTTCAAAACAAGCCAAACTTGACTGGTATCCTGTTGTTGTTGTTAGGTGCCATCGAATCAGTTTTGACTCATAGTGACCCTGTGAACAACAGAATGAAAAATTACCCAGCCCTGCACCAGCTAGACAATAGTTAATGTTTAAGCCCATTATATCAATCCATTTCTTTGAGGGTCTTCCTGTTTTTTGCTGACACTCCGCTTTACTAAGCATGATGTACTTCAGGGGTTGGTCTTTCCTGACATCGTGTCCAAAGTATAAAGTTTCACCATTGGTCACTAACAAGAAGTACTTCTTCCCAAACAGATTGGTTTATTCTTCTGACATTTCATGTTATAGTCAGTATTCTTCTTCACTAACACTTTAATTCAAATGCACCAACTTTTCTAAGGTCTTCCTTATTCTTTGTCCGGCTTTCACACGCATATAAGGCTATTGAAAATACCATGGCTGATGTCAGGCATACCTTAGTCCTCAAACTGATGTCTTTGCTCTTAAACACTTTAAAGAGGTCTTTTGCACTAAATATGCCTTATGCAATACATCTGATGTCTTGACTGCTGCTTCCATGAGTGTTGATTCTGGATCCAAGCAAAATGAAATCTCTGACAACATCAATCTTTTCTCCATTTATCATGATGCTATTTGTTGGTCCAGTGCTGAGGATTTTTGTTTTCTTTTCATTGAGGTGCAACCCATACTGATCTTCATCAGTCAGTATTTTAAGTCCTCTTCGCTTCCAGCAAGCAAGATTGTATCATCTACATATCCCAGGTTGTTAATGAGTCATCCTCCAATCCTGATGCTCCATTCTTCTTCAAATAATCCAGCTTCTTGAATTATTTGTTCAGCATACAGATTGAATAAGTACAGTGAAAGGGCGTGGTGTGCTACTGTTTGCTTATCCACAAATAACAAGGTGCTGTCACGTC